AGGAAGACCCAGTGTGGAGTCAGAAAGCCGTGCCCTTGTCTCCACTCTCCGTCCTCATTGACTGTCCTTAGGAAGGTAGCCCATTGTCTCTCAGCCTCCATTTCCTCAACTTTAAAATGGGATACCATGAGGATCAAGGGGCATGAATCATTTGCAAATGTGAAGTGTCACCCAAACCTTAGTGACTGAGAACAGCCACCTTCACACAGGATGCCCACGTGTTGGATGTGAACGTGGTAGAGACAGGGGCTGCTGGGCCCTTGGGGGGCATTTCTATCAAGGTCAGGGTAATATCATCCCTTCCTGTAACATGCATTGCTTGGGTTTGTGCTAGAGGCCTGGCCTCTCTGGCCAGCCTGTTCTGGGTGTCGGTGGCCAAGGAGAACTGCAGGGCAGTGTTAGGCCTCTCTGTTCAAAACATCTCACTAGGACCTCCATCCTGCCAGGTTCTAATTCTTATAACAACTTGTTTGTGTCTAATGTCAGTTTTCTGGCAGGTAACTGGCTTAAACCAGGCTATGGGACAATCACTCTTTAATATAGATTGGTTTCATTCCCATGGAAAATCGTGTTGCGAACATCAGGGCGAATGGGTGGCTACTCTTCATGTTTTTGGCGGCGGCAGTGCTGGGTGTCGGGAGAGGGACTGGCTGCTGAGGCTGGGCCTGGGCTGGGTGGGCTGGCTCTGCTGGGTCCGGGGCCGCAGGCAGCAGGTCAGGCACGCTGGGCCACGGCACGGCCGGCTTACACGTGCACGGCTGTGGCCTGTGCACACCTCTGCTCCTTTGTTCTGCAATAACATCCTGTTTCCTCATTCCTAAGTCACAAACTTCCACTCCTCTCTGAGGGCCTGTGGACCTTGCTCACATCCTGGGTAAAGTGTTTATGTCTGAACATGAAGGACCACCTGGTGTGAAGTGGAGGCGCCTTTCCTTGACCCTGGTTCCTGGTCAGGCAGGCTGCAGGGCCAGGCCAGGGCCACGGGCGTGCCTGCCTACTAGCACAGGGCCTGGGGCGTGGGGGGACGCAAGAGTCCTGGTGCGCCCTGCTTGGAGAGACTGCTCCTCCTAAGCTACTGCAGGATCTGCTCCCAAGCCAGCCCAGAGAGAGCCATAAACAACCAGCAGCAGACTGAGTCACTCACCCAGCCAGGCATTAGTTTCCACATCAATAAGTGGCGCCATTAGGCCAGCTTACAGTCTCTCAGCGTTGAACTGTTGCTGGCATCAGAATCATAGGCGTGGCTGTGGAGTGTTCATAGAAATGCAGGTTAGTGAGTTGCACACTGTGAAGTCCAAGGGAGCAGCCCGGTTTGACTGGTTCAGCCGTCAGCCTGCTCCCTGCTTTGCTTCTTGATCCTACATGCAGGAGAGGCCTTCCTGCCTCACGGAGCACCTCAGTCACTGAGTTCAGGAGGCCAGACGGGGCCAGAGTCATGGGGAGAGCTTCCCCGGCTTCTTGGGGGTGGACACCTAGCCATCTTCTCTGAGTGGTCGCAGGCGTGCTGTCTGCAGGTGTGTGGGATGTGGTCTCTCCAGGGCTTAGCAGCAGTTTCTAAGGGCTCCTTTTCCTAATGGGTGCACATCACTAGCTCCCACTCTGAGTGCTGCGGGGAGGGAAGAAAGCACAGAAAACAGCAGGCTAATCCCGACTTCTCCCCTGCATTAATGATGAATCCAGGGCATTCAGCGCCCCATTAGGCATCCTTGTGTTGAGAAAGGAGATTTAGGTTTGGAGTCAGAAAACCCGTATGTGGGCTGTGACCCATGGAAAGAGTGCAAACCAACAGTTCTCTGCTGGGGTGCAGAGGGCACCTGGCAGTGTCTGGAGACATTTTGGATTGTCACATTGTGGGGGTTGATGTTATGAACATCTGTGCGGTAGAGGCCAGACTAATTATCCTTCCATGCACAGGACGGTCCCTACATCAAAATATCAGGCCCCAAATGTCAGTAGTGCCGAGGTGCCTGTTGTAAACTTAGTTTCTCTATCTGTAAAGTGGAGTCCATCTAGATCAGTATTTTTCAATCTGAGTCATGACGTATGGGTTACAGAATTAATTTAATGGATGTCATCAGTTATTAAGAAAATTAAATGGGATAGCATGGAGGACATCAGAGAGTGTCAGAGAGCATAACCCAAGGGAAGGGTGATAATTGTTATATGGTGAGTGTGTACACAGCGGGGCATGAAGTAAAGTGTGTGTTTTCTCTGCTTTCTGGGCAAAACAGTTGAGAGGATCACAGAAATCTCTCCTGCTGCCAGAGCATGTTTTTCTGAGTTGAAGGCTTCTCCCAGATGTACTTGCCAGATGCTTGCAGTTGAGTGCTCACCAAGGACCCCAGCCCCGCCCCCGAACTGGTGATGCTCCCAGGCAGCCAGCCCCCCATGCCTGTGGGCACTGCCTTGTGCAGCCTCTGCTCTGGGCATTGCTCCTGGGCTTCCTAATGCTGAGGTCTCCTGGGGGCCTGAGCCAGCCCTTCCAATACTGAAATCAGCACTGGTCTGAGTCCATTAGCTCTGGGATGATGGGCAAGTTGCTCCAAGAGCCAGCCCCTCCCTGCATGGGCCCCAGTCCCGCGGTGTGGGGCCAGGCTGCATTCAGCGTTCACTTGAAGAGGGCAGGGCTCCCACGCACCTCCACACAGTGGGAGCCTTTCAAGCTTGTAGTGACACTGACCTTTGAGGCTTTCCTATGGGGTCTGCCCCCATGAGCAAGGGACCGTTTAGGTGATTTTACGTCCTTGCGAGCCTTGAGGAGCTACAGATGACAGCTGCAGCACAGTGGCCCACCCCAAGCTGCCTGGTTGCATCCCCTACTCTCCCTCCAGCCACACACTCCCTGGCTGGCCAGTTCTCACAAGTGCTTTCCGAATCCCCGTGGGAGGGAGGAATTGCCTGTGAGGAGAGGCACTTGGGAATTCCTCTCCTGTTTCTAGGAGGGAGCTGTCTTGAGTTCAGAGGCAACATTTGGTTGAACTACCCAGTGAGCAGGGGCAGAATGCACGCCCATCTCTCTGATCTAAGATGACAGGTGGATTGTACTGATGAGATGTGTTCTGTGGTCATGGGAGGGAGTTCCTTGCCTCTTGTCCCCGTTGTCACCTCCCCCATCAGCGGGTGGCTCGCTCCCGCCAAGAGTGGATGCTCTGAGTCAGTCCCAGTGGGGGCCCAGGAAGGGATTTGGTGTCCGTCCGCTGGGCACACCTGGAGGCAGGGAAGGCTCTGGGGAGGGACTGCAAAAGAGGCTGTTGCCAGGCTGTCTCCTTTGCTTGTTTTTTCAACTTTTTACTATGGAAATTTTGAAACGTTCAGAAAAGTTGGACGAACAGGACATATTCCCACCATTCAGCTGCCACCATTCACCTTGTACTCTACTGGTTCCATCACTTACCTGTGTAATTTTGTTTGTTTTTCTTTGGCTAATTTCTTGCTGTCAGAAAGTTTGCTCAACTTTTTCAATATTTGTTTGCTTTTAAAACCATTCTAAGTGAAAGCTCAGAGCAGAGAAGTCTCAGTCAGAGGACACAAACCCTTGAACTTGGTTGCGTTTCCTTTTCCTCCCGATGGCGCTGGTCAGGAGCTGGGCGGAATGTGGCAGTGGGTGGTCTGTGGGCCTTCCTGGTGTCTCTGAGCTGCTAACAGTGCACTGTCCAAAGTACTGTTCTTAGACTGGGCCCTCACTGAAATCTCACCAGGAACAAGTCTGTGTCCCGGCTCCTTGTGGTTGGTCTGGAGTGTGTGTCGTGGGCCAGGTGGTTGCTGTCCTCTCGCAGCCTGGGTCCAGCGCAGGCCCCATTGAGGAAGTCCTCCCCCCAGGCCCTGGCGGGGCTGCGGCCCAGGATGTCCCCTCTGGAGTCCCCGTTCTCAGTGGCCCTTGCCGTGGCTGCCATGCCTCATGCCAGCAAACCTGCCGAGTCTCCTGGCCTTCGTGCCCTGGATTCTGCTCCTCCTGGCTTGCTGCCCAGCTGGAGCCCCACTCCACTGGCCCTCCTAAGAGAAGGTGTCTTTCCTCGTTTCCAGGGTTAACCTGGGCCTTGCGTCCTGTTCCTGCAGGAGCCCTGAGGCACAGTGCCTCATGTTACCCCTCTTCCTCCATCATCTTCTCTCCCTGTCTCCCCTGGCTGCCCTTCTGAGCTATTCCCGTCAGCCTCCCGGTCTCCAAGGTTGGAGACTCAGACACTGCACTGTTGCTCTGGCCCCTGTCTTCTGTGGCCATAGTTACCTTTGAACTCCAAGGGCCCGGCCCAGGGAGTGGTTCTCAGGTTCTAGCTGGGGGGTGAAGTCTTCACAGTCTCCCAGAAAATGGTCTCTTGCTTATTCTCCTGCCTTCATTCCTGTCCGCTGCTGTCATCGTCACCCTCGTCTCTGCGGTCACCCCTCCCGACTGAACCATTGTCAGGCACTGTTTCCTCATGTGGCTGGTTAGTCAGGCATCTCCAATGGCGATATCGATCATTTATTGCGTCCGTAATGTTTTCCATGCGGAGCGAGTCGGTTTACCTGCAGTGTCTCTAAGCTTCTCCCAGAGGAGCAGATTCAGTAAACTGAGATAGAACTTGTGGATCTCCATTTTAAACAAAAAGCCCAAGGATTCTGAAGTGGGCTGTCCTCAGAGAGCATTTTATCTAACACTAGCCTAGAGTACCTATTACCAATCATTCACATTGTTGGTTTTATTTGCTGACTTACAATGTAGTCCATTGCAGGATGCTTATCGTATACTTAGATTGCGAAGGGATCATGCTTTTACACTTTTCTTTTGAGAAATCAAAGAGACTTCTGGAGAGCTAATGTATCCAGCAGGCACTCAATAAATATTTTTAGGTGAATGTAAAAATGGGTGAGTAGATGAGATTTTTAGGGAGATTTTTATTGCCTCTTTGTTAGGTGTTTTGGGGGAGTTTTCCACTGAGATAAGATTTTAGCGATGGTGATTATAAATAAATGTATCAGCTTCTTTTGGTAATAGTCACCACCATGACCCTTTTCTCTTTCAGGGGACTTCCAAAATGGCAAGAGGGTGAGCCTGTCTGTGTACCTTGGGGAGTTTTTTGACATCCATTTGCATATCAATGGTACTGCACTGCAGGGGGGCCAGAGGTAAGTCAAGCCCAGGATGCCCAGATTAGACAGGACCCTGGCAGCCCCCTCGTGTTTCAGATGAAGGAGCTGGACGTAAACCTGTCCAGAGGGAGCAAGCAGCAAGGCTGGGTGCCCTGACTCCCGTTGGGCCCTCTGCTGCTTTGCCCCGTGGCCTGAACCCTTGGAATAGGCTTGGGTTGAAGGTGGGAGGGGCACCAGAAAATGTATGAGAAACCCACTTCCTGTGCTCATCCTTGCCCCTCCAGCATTTCCATGCCCTATGCCTCCCAAGGGCTGTATCTGGAAACTGAGGCTGGCCACTATAAGCTGTCCAGCGAGGCCTACGGCTTTGTGGCCAGGATCGATGGCAGCGGCAACTTTGAAGTCCTGCTATCAGACAGGTACTTCAACAAGACCTGTGGGCTGTGTGGCAACCTCAACATCTTTGCCGAAGATGACTTCAGGACTCAGGAAGGTAAGCTTTCCTGGGATACCATTTCCCTGTGGTGTGGCTCTACTTCTGTTGTCCCTGCTCACAGACCATTATAACATTCTTTCCTGGTATTCCAGCCTGCCCAGGACCTCTGCTCATTTATACTGCCAACCTATCTCTTAGCAGTTCTCCCCACTGTCCAGACCCCCATCATACCAGACTTGGAGCTACTTCAACTTGACTTGGCTCAACTTTGAATCCCCCACAGCAGCCTATACATGCTAGAGGGTGGGTAAGTGCTGGATGGTTTGAATACACTCTCTTGAGCCATTACAGTCAGGAGTTCTTGGAGGAAATTTATAAAGGGTGGTTCTCAATATTGTCCAAAAGGCCAGTTTATGTGTGTGCTCACCAGCAACAGAAGGTAATACGGACAATGTGAAAACCACTACTAATTTTTAATTATCTTTGGATAATTTCAATTACATAAACATTTATTTATTGATGCTCCCTTGCAAAAGCTGAACATTTGTTTGTATAAAGTCATCCTTCTTCCTTATGACCCAGCTACCCTTAGTTTAAGCGATAAGTGTCTAGAGAAACAGTTTACTAGTCCTTTCACTGGACTTTACATGTCAGAAAACAGTAAGATCATTTGTTTCTGTCTTCTCCAGCACTGATTCATCCAACATTTTATTGTCCAGTATGTACTTTTAAGGCTACAAACTTTCCTCTAAATACCATGTTATCTGCACCTCACTGATTTTGATATCTATAACATATTTTTATCTTCATTTAGTTCTATGAATTTTCTAATTTCTATTTTGAGTTCTTTCTTGATCTATAAAATGTATTTACATTTTCCAAATGTTTATAATTTTAAGTTATCTTTTGTGACTCAATTGATTTCTAATTTAAATTAGACATTTGGGGAGATTTGTTTGTGGCCTCCATACATGATCATTTTTGCAGCTGTTCTATATATGTGCTCCAAAAGAATATGTTTTCTGGTGCAGGATTCTATATATACTTGTTGAATTCAGTTTGTTAACTGTGTTTTTTAAATCTTCTATATGTTTGCTATTTTCTGCCTGCTTCAACTACTCATTACTAAGAGAGCTGTATTACATTTTTCTACAATGATGATGAATCTGTCAATTTCTTCATGTAATTCTGTCAAGTTTTGCTTTACATATTCTGAACATTTGTTATTATGTTTTAGAAATGTTGAATCTTTCTGGTGAACTGTCTTTTATTTTTTATTTATTTTATTAAGGTATTATTGATATACACTCTTATGAACGTTTCACACGAAAAAAAAATGTGGTTACTACATTCATCCCTGTTATCATGTCCGCCCCATTACCCCATTGCAGTCACTGCCCATCAGTGTAGGAAAATGCCACAGAGTCACTATTTGCCTTCTCTGTGCTACACTGTCTTCCCTGATTACCCCACACCTTGTGTGCCATTCATAATACCCCTGAATTCCCTTCTCCCTCCCTTCCCTACCCATCTCCTTTGGTAACCTTTAGACCCTTCTTGGAGTCTGTGAGTCTGCTGCTATTTTGTTCCTTCAGTTTTGCTTTGTTGTTACACTCCACAAATGAGGGAAATCATTTGGTACTTGTGTTACTCTGCCTGGTTTATTTCACTGAGCATAATATTCTCCAGCTCCATCTATGTTGTTGCAAATTGTAGAATTTGTTTCTTTCTTATGGCTGAGTAGTATTCCATTGTATATATGTACCACATCCTCTTTATCCATTCATCTACTGATGGACACTTAGGTTGCTTCCATTTCTTGGCTATTGTAAATAGTACTGCAATAAACATAGGGGTGCCTATGTCTTTTTGAATCTGAGAAATTATATTCTCTGAGTAAATTCCTAGGAGTGGAATTCTTAGGTCAAATGGTATTTCTATTTTTAGATTTTTGAGGAACCTCCATATTGCTTTCCACAATGGTTGAATTAGTTTACATTCCCTCTGGTGAACTGTCTTTTCTGTCATGACACTTGCTGTTTTTAGCAATGCTTATGCCTTAAAATCTGACATTAATATAAATACTCCACATGTTTTAGGTTAGTATTTGCTTGATGGCTCTTTTTCTATACTTGCATCCTTTCTTGTGTCATTTTGTTTTGGATATGTCTTGTGAAAGTAGCACATACTGCATTTTATCTTTTTTTTGAAGTCAGATTTATTGAGGTATAATTTACATACAGTAAAATTCACCCTTTCAGCATATAGTTCTATGAGTTTTCACAGAAGTGTAGAGCCATGTAACCACTACTACCAAACTATAGAACTGTTTTACGCTCCACCCCAAATTCCCATGCCCCTCTGTAGTCAAACTCCCCCAGATCCTAGCCCCAGTAGTCACTGATCTTTCTTCTGTTCCTTTAGTTTTGATTTTTCCAAAACTCACATAAGTGTAACCATAAAGTAATCAGAGTCTTTTGCCTTTTATGTCTGGCTTCTTTCATGTAACATAACCCACCAGGGATTCATCTCTGTGGTTGCGTGTATCATTAGTCTGTTCCTGTTTATTGTTAAGGGACAATTTGTTTATCCATTCAGCAGTTGAAGGACACTTTGATGTATCCAGTTTTTGGCAGTTATGGATAAAGCAGCTATAAACATTTCATGTGTACGCTTTCTTTTCTCCATTTTTTTATTGTGGTAAAATACACATAACATAAAATGTGCTATCCTACTCATTTTTCATTGTATTGTTCAGTGGTATTAAGTACGTCCACATTGTTGCACAACCTTCACCACCATCTGTCTCCATAACCCTTTATCTTCCCTCCCACTAGCCCTTGGCAACCACTATTCTACTTTCCGTCCCTATTATTCTAATAACTCAAATACCTCAGATAAGTGGAATCATACAGCATTTATCTTTTTTGTAAATTGCTTATTTCATTTAGCATAACTTCCTTACAATTCATCCATGTTGTATCCTATGTTACAATTACCTTCATCTTTAAGGCTAAATAGGTACTGGACATGTCGACCACTTTTTGCTGATCCATTCATGCATGGATGGACACTTGGGCTGCTTCCACATTTAGCTATAGTGAATGATGCTGCCAGAAATATGGGTGTGCAAATCTCTTTTCAAGACCCTGCTTCCAAATCTTTTGGGTATATACAAGAAATGGAGTTGCTTGATCATGTGGCAATTCTATTTTGACTTCCTTGAGGGACTGCCAAACTGTTTTCCACAGTGACTATGACACTTTTCCTCTCACCAACAGTGCACAAGGGTTCCAATTTCTCACATTCTCACCAACATTTGTTATTTTCTGGTTTTTTTTTTTTGATAGTTGCCATCCTAGTAAGTGTGAGTTGGTATCCATGTATTGAATTTTGTGTAGACATATGCTTTAATTTCTCTGGGTAAATATTTAGGACTGGGATTAGTGGGTGGTATGACAAGCATGTGTTTAACTTTATAAGAAACTGCCAACTGTTTTCTAAAGTAGCTGAATTGTTTGCATTTCTGCTAGCAATGTACAAGTTTCACTTGCTCGGAATCCTTGCCAGCATCTGGAAATGTCACCTTATATGATTTTTATTTTAGTGATTTTAATAGATGTGTAGCAGTATCTCATTACAGCCCATTATTGTTATTGTAATGTAACCTAATCTTTTCTGTCTTCTTACTGTAACATTTTGACTCTTTCCACTCATTTTATATTATCGTGTTGTTGATGTACTTGGACTTATATTAACCACCTTATTTTGGGAATAGGTTACAGGCTTCCCCCTTCCAGGCCTGGCTATGCAAAAAGGCTGCTTGTCTCAATGCTCCATTGAGTCCCTTTGCAGTGAAGGTTCAGCAGTGTTATTAGGTGCCTACTTTGCGTCAGGTCACAAAGGTCCCTAAGTCCCTCCCAGTCTGTTGTGGGTAGCTGACAGTGGCATGGTTGCCATGAGTACTAAGGTGTAGATGCTGTGGAAACCAGGAGAGGTAGGGCTTGGAGCCTAGGTTCCACAGCCCCACCTACATTCTGCAAAAATATTTCAAGTACCCAGAATCTGCCTGCCAGAGAAGTTTAGAGATAAGAGACACAGCTTGTGCTCTGAATGCAGGAGTTCGCAGTTGAGTGGGGGATGAATATAAGCAAAAAGAATACTAGCACAAGGATGATGAGAGTTTTGTAGGAGGGATGGACAGGGTGCAGAGGGAGCACAGAGCAGGGGCATAACCAGCTCAGGCTGGGGCTGGGGACAGGGGTGGAGCTAGCTTAGAGGGCTTCTTGGAGGAAGTGGCATTGGAGCTGCATCTCAGAGAGTGAATGGAGATGGTCCAGGTACCAAGCCAGGGAGAATATTCTGCATAGGGGAGAAAGACAGGCAAAGGCAAGGAGAAGTGGGAGTGGATGGGCATGTTCCCCATCTTTCATGTCACCTTCCTCACTGTTCACGACCACCCAGCTGTCTCTCACCAAACACTGGCTGAGCTCTGAGGCCCATGCCCTGTGTTTGTTATGCTGAGTGTTGCTCAAAAGGTGCTCCCACTCCAGATGCTTAAGCATGATTCTCATGGAAGGTTGATTCAGCTGACCGCAGCGTTTTCACTCAGAAGTTCAGGATCAGGCATCACTGTGGCTACATTCTCCTGGAATTTTTCCCCACAGGGACCTTGACCTCAGACCCCTATGACTTTGCCAACTCCTGGGCCCTGAGCAGCGGAGAACAGCGGTGCAGGCGGGCATCACCTCCCAGCAGCCCTTGCAACGTGTCCTCAGAGGAAGTGCAGAAGGTGGGTGCAGCCCAGGCTGTATGTGGTCTGGATGGCTGGAGCTTTTGGAAGTAAGAGGCAGAGAGACATGTGGTCTCAGGTCCTCCGTCCACGGCAGGCGTGGGCCCACCTCTGCGGGTCACCCTGGCTGTTCATTAGAGGGTTCCCACAGGCTCCTTCCCATCTGAAAACCCACTGTGGCTGGAGTTTGGTTAACTCCAATTCTAATGCCATTCTGGGCTCGGAACTCTAAAAATGGGGCTGTTCTAAGGAGTTGGTGTAGTGAGTGACTATACTTTTCTGTTTTATGCTCCAGTGGCCTCTCTGGTCCCCAAATACCACCATCATTACCTGCCACCCTTGTGAAATTCTTCAGTAGAACACTACTCCTTTTTCAGTGCTCAGTAAACGTTTGTTGTGAAGTACAAACAGAAGGACAAGGCCCCAAGTCGTAGCAGTACATCAGCAGGAAGGGGGTTGGGCCACATTACAGTCAGGGGAACTAGGGGAGGTGGAGGGGCCTTCAGTGACCAGTGAGGACAGTGTGACAGGTTCCTGAGGCTGTGCGGCAAACGAGCTCAAGCTTAGTGGCTTAACGGCAGCAGCAAGGTTTTCTCTCATGGTCCGGGAGCTCAGAGGTGTGGATTTCATTTCCCTGGGCCACAGTCAAGGTGTCAGCAGGGCCCACTCCATTCAGAGGCTGTGGGAGAGAACGCCCACCAGTCTTGCCTCTTCCAGCTTTGGGTGGCTATGGTTTCATTCACTGGCTGTGGCCACGTCACTCCAGGCGCTGCCGCTGTGGTCACGTGGCCTCCTCACGTGTGTGTACTTCTGTCCTGAGACCCAGTACAGATGGTAGCACCTCCTGTCCCTTCCCACGCAGCCTGATTTCTACTGGGTCAGCAACTCATCAGCAGCCCTTTCCCCCTTATGGTCCCACTAACCAGAACCACCACCCAGAGGGGGCATGGCAGGGCTGTGTGCCTCCACCTCTTGCAGGTGGAGATGGCCTTTGGCCTCTGTGCTTGGGGTGTTGGGAGGATGCCACTTGGGGTGGGGCAACACTTCCCTCAGTGCACAGCCCCTCTGTCCCCTCGGGGTCAGACTGCCTGGGAGCAGCAAGGCTTGGGATGAAGCGAGTTCTCAGTGCATGGATTTTCCTGTTGAGGCTGTGCTCAGAGACTCACTGGCTGGGGAACAAGGCTCCTTGTAGGTGCTGTAAGTCAGGTTCCCTGGGAAGCACATTCTTGGAGGGAGATTTGTGTGCAGGGAGCTGGTGGGGCACCTCCCTGGGCTGGTGTCTAGAAGGGGGTACTGGGCGTGGGGGAGGGGCTGCCATGGAGTTACACCCAGGCCTCAGCTGATCCCGCAGGGAGCTCTGGAAGCTGGGGCAGCCCCCCCCACCACCATAGGTCACTGGATGTATGCTGCCTCTGGGCCGGGACAAGCTCCCTTGGACTGAAAGCGATGCCAACGGGATGACTCAGCTATGAGCCCTTAGTCGTGACACTCTTAGCTGCTGGTGGGTGGTCCCTTGGCTCTGAAGGGCATCTGGGCTGCACCCAGCATCCCTGTAGAGACAGCTGCTTAACAGCCTCCCACCCAGCCCTCATCCAGGGAGCAACCACCCGGTCCTCACCTAGAGCCACCAGAGGGAGGGAGGCCCCTGCGCGTACCCAGGACCACTGCTGCATCAACAGAACCCTCACCCTTGCATGCACAGTCTGCAGAGTGATGGGCAAACTGAAAGCATGAGAGGCCCAGTTGCTGCCCAAAGTCACCAGCAGATAGGCAGCAGAGGCAGAATTCAAGCCCTGCCTGGCTCCCCCACAGATGCTGCTCTGGCCACTTCTACCCAAGGCCCCTGTGTTTTCCTTCAGGAGTTGGGCTCCAATTGTTATTTTCTGGTTTTTTTTTTTTGATAGTTGCCATCCTAGTAAGTGTGAGTTGGTATCCATGTATTGAATTTTGTGTAGACATATGCTTTAATTTCTCTGGGTAAATATTTAGGACTGGGATTAGTGGGTGGTATGACAAGCATGTGTTTAACTTTATAAGAAACTGCCAACTGTTTTCTAAAGTAGCTGAATTGTTTGCATTTCTGCTAGCAATGTACAAGTTTCACTTGCTCGGAATCCTTGCCAGCATCTGGAAATGTCACCTTATATGATTTTTATTTTAGTGATTTTAATAGATGTGTAGCAGTATCTCATTACAGCCCATTATTGTTATTGTAATGTAACCTAATCTTTTCTGTCTTCTTACTGTAACATTTTGACTCTTTCCACTCATTTTATATTATCGTGTTGTTGATGTACTTGGACTTATATTAACCACCTTATTTTGGGAATAGGTTACAGGCTTCCCCCTTCCAGGCCTGGCTATGCAAAAAGGCTGCTTGTCTCAATGCTCCATTGAGTCCCTTTGCAGTGAAGGTTCAGCAGTGTTATTAGGTGCCTACTTTGCGTCAGGTCACAAAGGTCCCTAAGTCCCTCCCAGTCTGTTGTGGGTAGCTGACAGTGGCATGGTTGCCATGAGTACTAAGGTGCAGATGCTGTGGAAACCAGGAGAGGTAGGGCTTGGAGCCTAGGTTCCACAGCCCCACCTACATTCTGCAAAAATATTTCAAGTACCCAGAATCTGCCTGCCAGAGAAGTTTAGAGATAAGAGACACAGCCTGTGCTCTGAATGCAGGAGTTCGCAGTTGAGTGGGGGATGAATATAAGCAAAAAGAATACTAGCACAAGGATGATGAGAGTTTTGTAGGAGGGATGGACAGGGTGCAGAGGGAGCACAGAGCAGGGGCATAACCAGCTCAGGCTGGGGCTGGGGACAGGGGTGGAGCTAGCTTAGAGGGCTTCTTGGAGGAAGTGGCATTGGAGCTGCATCTCAGAGAGTGAATGGAGATGGTCCAGGTACCAAGCCAGGGAGAATATTCTGCATAGGGGAGAAAGACAGGCAAAGGCAAGGAGAAGTGGGAGTGGATGGGCATGTTCCCCATCTTTCATGTCACCTTCCTCACTGTTCACGACCACCCAGCTGTCTCTCACCAAACACTGGCTGAGCTCTGAGGCCCATGCCCTGTGTTTGTTACGCTGAGTGTTGCTCAAAAGGTGCTCCCACTCCAGATGCTTAAGCATGATTCTCATGGAAGGTTGATTCAGCTGACCGCAGCGTTTTCACTCAGAAGTTCAGGGTCAGGCATCACTGTGGCTACATTCTCCTGGAATTTTTCCCCACAGGGACCTTGACCTCAGACCCCTATGACTTTGCCAACTCCTGGGCCCTGAGCAGCGGAGAACAGCGGTGCAGGCGGGCATCACCTCCCAGCAGCCCTTGCAACGTGTCCTCAGAGGAAGTGCAGAAGGTGGGTGCAGCCCAGGCTGTATGTGGTCTGGATGGCTGGGGCTTTTGGAAGTAAGAGGCAGAGAGACATGTGGTCTCAGGTCCTCCGTCCACGGCAGGCGTGGGCCCACCTCTGCGGGTCACCCTGGCTGTTCATTAGAGGGTTCCCACAGGCTCCTTCCCATCTGAAAACCCACTGTGGCTGGAGTTTGGTTAACTCCAATTCTAATGCCATTCTGGGCTCAGAACTCTAAAAATGGGGCTGTTCTAAGGAGTTGGTGTAGTGAGTGACTATACTTTTCTGTTTTATGCTCCAGTGGCCTCTCTGGTCCCCAAATACCACCATCATTACCTGCCACCCTTGTGAAATTCTTCAGTAGAACACTACTCCTTTTTCAGTGCTCAGTAAACGTTTGTTGTGAAGTACAAACAGAAGGACAAGGCCCCAAGTCGTAGCAGTACATCAGCAGGAAGGGGGTTGGGCCACATTACAGTCAGGGGAACTAGGGGAGGTGGAGGGGCCTTCAGTGACCAGTGAGGACAGTGTGACAGGTTCCTGAGGCTGTGCGGCAAACGAGCTCAAGCTTAGTGGCTTAACGGCAGCAGCAAGGTTTTCTCTCATGGTCCGGGAGCTCAGAGGTGTGGATTTCATTTCCCTGGGCCACAGTCAAGGTGTCAGCAGGGCCCACTCCATTCAGAGGCTGTGGGAGAGAACGCCCACCAGTCTTGCCTCTTCCAGCTTTGGGTGGCTATGGTTTCATTCACTGGCTGTGGCCACGTCACTCCAGGCGCTGCCGCTGTGGTCACGTGGCCTCCTCACGTGTGTGTACTTCTGTCCTGAGACCCAGTACAGATGGTAGCACCTCCTGTCCCTTCCCACGCAGCCTGATTTCTACTGGGTCAGCAACTCATCAGCAGCCCTTTCCCCCTTATGGTCCCACTAACCAGAACCACCACCCAGAGGGGGCATGGCAGGGCTGTGTGCCTCCACCTCTTGCAGGTGGAGATGGCCTTTGGCCTCTGTGCTTGGGGTGTTGGGAGGATGCCACTTGGGGTGGGGCAACACTTCCCTCAGTGCACAGCCCCTCTGTCCCCTTGGGGTCAGGCTGCCTGGGAGCAGCAAGGCTTGGGATGAAGCGGGTTCTCAGTGCATGGATTTTCCTGTTGAGGCTGTGCTCAGAGACTCACTGGCTGGGGAACAAGGCTCCTTGTAGGTGCTGTAAGTCAGGTTCCCTGGGAAGCACATTCTTGGAGGGAGATTTGTGTGCAGGGAGCTGGTGGGGCACCTCCCTGGGCTGGTGTCTAGAAGGGGGTACTGGGCGTGGGGGAGGGGCTGCCATGGAGTTACACCCAGGCCTCAGCTGATCCCGCAGGGAGCTCTGGAAGCTGGGGCAGCCCCCCCCACCACCATAGGTCACTGGATGTATGCTGCCTCTGGGCCGGGACAAGCTCCCTTGGACTGAAAGCGATGCCAACGGGATGACTCAGCTATGAGCCCTTAGTCGTGACACTCTTAGCTGCTGGTGGGTGGTCCCTTGGCTCTGAAGGGCATCTGGGCTGCACCCAGCATCCCTGTAGAGACAGCTGCTTAACAGCCTCCCACCCAGCCCTCATCCAGGGAGCAACCACCCGGTCCTCACCTAGAGCCACCAGAGGGAGGGAGGCCCCTGCGCGTA